GAGATCACCTGCCCTCCAACACCACAATACAGGCACAATCCTTGGGTCAGCCGCCTCTGCCGTTCAGCCAATGAGAGCCGACTAGTATCCACTTGCATGGGTTCGTTGCCTGGTTCTGGAGTGCTGGTGATTTCTGGCCGACGGAGGAGTGGAGAGACTGAGGGTGGTGGATGGTCCTCAAAGCAGGATTGCATCCGATTTGCACATCTGATGGATAACTGGATGAAACGTTCCAGGCCATACAAGTCATCATACGTCACCAGCTGCAACCGCAATCTCGGCTCGAGTCCCAGCCGGTACATGGTGAGGAGCGAGCGCTCATTCCAGCCGCAACGAGGGTTCTGAACCTGAGGGAATAGTCATTGATAGACATGGAACCTTGACGGAGGTGGTATAATTGCTCACCCGCTGATGAATCACCCGCTGGTCTGACGAAAACATCATGGAAATGTTCCAGGAAGTTTTGAAGGGACTGAGTAACGGGACCGGCTTGGGCCCAGATGGTTTCCGCCCATTGGAGCGCTCGTCCTGTTAGCAGGGAGATGATAAAGGCGATCTTAGCATTATCAGAAGGATAGAGATGCGGTTGCATATTCATGGTTAGCGAACACTGTAGTAGGAATCCGTTGCACTCCTCCGCCGCACCAGAGAAGGGCGCTGGTCTGGCCATGGGACTGGTGACTACCATTTACAGAAGTGACCGGAGTAGATGTGGTTGCGGTGGCAAGGAGAACCCGCCGGAGGGAATCCACGAGCCCCTGGAAGGGATCTGGATCACTCATGTTGCCTACTGTTATGGTCCGATCTTCTGTTATGGAAGGAGACTCACACAGAAGGTTAGGAATAACAGAGGAGGTTTATTTGTGGCAACAGATGCTGATGGTAGACGAGTAAGCAGTTCAAATGGAAATGTTCAATAGTAATTGAGGTGTGGGAATGAGTATGCTTGCCCTTGCAGGAGTCCGTGGAAGAGCAGATGGTGGAATGGAAGGTGGCACACACCTCGCCGTAATAAGGACTGGAGGGGTGTTCCCGGAGACATAGGAGGAAACAGGCGTTGGAGTAGAACACAGGCGGTAGGTACACGAGGAAGGTAAGGATAGCAGTCATTTGCTGGAGTAGCATAGAGAGTCCACTTCGTATAAGCGAAATCGGACACAGGAGTGAGGTGAGGTGTGTGCTTATGAAGTGCCTTGATGAGGGTGATGATCATGAACAGGTGCGTGCAATCAGAACTCAGGTGAAGGTGTGCGCTGTGATTGGGTGGTGAGTGAACTTGGCCGATCCGTGACAACTGTATGTGAAAAGTCTGTAGTGGAAATTTCTTTTGGCACTTTAATCTGTGAGATAGCTTCATAAAAAAGATGAATCATCCTGCATCAGTTCTTCATTGGTTGACAATCATATTTGACTATAATCATATCATAGTCTTGATTCTGATTCATTAATGTTTTAAGTTAATTTAATTTCTGATTCATTTGAATTTTTTTTTTACATTCCAAAAGCACCTAAACACATTTGGGGGCCACTGTACAAAATAATAAGAAACCTTTTTAGTTGAAAAAAAAAAAAGTTTATTTGTCTTATAGCAATACAGAAAGATTTATTTATAGTTATATTCGGGACAAATATTTTTAATAGATTTTCAAATATTTATTTTTATATAGATATTCAAATTGATATATTATGTAACTTTAAATATAATTTGAATATAGGTCATACAGCACAAAGAATAATTATTCATAGACTATGTACAAAGAATAATTATTCATAATTATTCATAATTTACTTCATACATTGTTTGGCATATTAGGCTGAGTGCATTGTGTCTGATTCTAGTTACTTGAGTAGCATTACAGCCAGTCAATCGTGTATGTATACATATTGCGTAATCTGTACTTTCACAGGTTTGAATAGCAATGAGAACAGGTGTTGCCACTTGGCTTATAAGTGTCTGAGAGTGCAAGCCTGAGAATGCACGTCTGAGAGTGCAAAGCGCCAAGCTGCAGCCAGACCCTTCTCGATATTTTTGGCAGTTCAATTCTGCTGCACACAGCTGGACAACACCTCCTCTGGCTGTGTTTGCACAACAGCCTGCTGCATGACGTAACAATGGATTCGTAGAAGGTCGAATGGAACATTCTGCACAGTCCACCTCTGCCATCAAAGGATACAGTCACTGGAGCATGCTCTGCTCACAGCCTATACACAATAACAAGAGCACTGCCAACAATTACAATAGGAATTTCAAGCTTTATTTTAAGGGGGCTGGAAATTGTTTGACAGCTGACTTTTGTGGCATGTGCACTGCTAGTCACAGTAGTTGTGTGCCAATATATAAGCATGGGCAGAGTCACCTGACTGGGTCATGGTAGGTCCATTTATATTTGTAAACACATTTATGAGACAGATCATGTGACATTTTGTTTTTAAAGCTGACCAATTAAGAAAAAGATCATCTTTAAAAGTCAACCATATATGTTTGTTTATAAAAAGGGATTGGTACTGTGAGGGCAAGGCCCTTCAGGTTAAATAAACTATTTTAGGATTATGAGTTATTGATGGGAATTATGAGTTATGACCGATTGCGAGTTGAATCTCTTTTAAGAATAAAGGTTCCAAAATGTTTTTTTTCTCAGTGATGCCATAGTAGAATTCATTCTGGGTTCCCAAAAGAACCTTTTTTGGTTAGCGTGAAGAACATTTTAATCATCTAAAGAACATTTTTCCACCATAAAGGACCTTTTGGGGAATAGATGTTAAATGTCCTTCATGGACCATATATGCCAATAAAGAACATTTATTTTTAGGAGTGACAGCAGGGTCAGAAATTTACTTGGCCAAAAATGCCTCTGAAAGTGACAGAAGTGCTCAAATGTGAGGTCTGAAATGTCTTCTGTTTTGTAAAATCAATATTTTAGATAATTTATCATATTTTTTCTCTATTCTGTTTTATTCTTAGCCAGCACAGTGAACATTTCAGTTAATTAATTAAAGTTTTTGACATGTTGATGATGATAAAAAGTGCATTATGTGTTAAACATTGTGTTAAATATTTTGGGGGGTGGGGGGCTAGGGGCTGAAAATCAATCCCCAGGGCAAATACCACTGAGTAAGAAAAGCTAATTAATGATTAAATGAATTAGTTAGTTAATTAATTAGCATAGGAAAAGCCATAGTAATACATTGATATTAATCACACTATTTCCTTGTATGTAGGATGTATCAGTGAGAATGTTAGAACTTCCTGCTGTAATATACCAGTATAATCCACTGAAACCACTGTGTCAGATAACAGCTATTTCCTGTCTCTTATCATCTCATTCTGTTTGGTGCCTCTTTCCCTCTTTACACTAGTGACTGACAAACCTTCTGGAAAGATTTCAACATTTCTAAGAGGCTTGTCACCAGAAGTACTTAAATGGTCTAACAAACCCTCACGGTTAAAATACATTCTTGAAACAGCACATGTAAACAGGCAGATACACACACGCACACACACACACACACACACACACAGCATTCCAAGAAAATTCTAGATTACTCCTCTGAAGATAAGGAATATTCTCGGAAAACACTATACTTTTTCTAGGTTTAAAAAAAAAAATACTATTAGTATTTATGGTAGATGGGTCCAAAGGAAAACGTTGACATCACTTACTCATCCTTGTGTTTTTCCTAATCTGTATGACATACTTTCCTGGAAGAAGAAACTTTAATGAGAATTTAAAGTTTTTTTTCCATGCAATTTCAATGAATGGGGTCTGAAGTTTAATGGTTAAAAAAAAGCTGCTAAAGCATCATAAACGAATTATATCTGATTCACAAACAAATCATTCATCAACTCCTCTCCCATGGCCTCACGGGATAATAAAGTGTACTCTGTTCACATACTGTTTTTCGTCAATAGTAGGGAAGTATGATTTTAGACTTTGAATATACAGCAGAAAACTGAATTTGAACCATGTTTGTGATACTTTTACAGCGCTTTTGCATCTTTTTGTAGTTTGAAAGCTTCAGTCCACATTCACTGTAGTTGCAAAGAGCAACTAGCACAGCCTTCATAATTTATCCTTTTGTGTTCCACAGAAGAAAGTCAGTCATACCGGTTTGGAATGGCATGAGATGATTTGCAGCTGAAGTTGCTAAATCATTTCCATTGCAAGACTGTTCCTTAAGCAAGCAAACCAACAGATTTTTGTTTGAAGCATTTTTTATAACTTAAGTTACACAAATACAAATCAGCTTAAGTTATATTAACAGGGTTCCTACACACTTTCCTTTTCAAAATTCCATACTTTTCCAGACTCAAATGTTCAAATCTCAGTAGATTTTCAGACCATATTTAACATAAATGGTTCATACAGCATTATTTTAAACTTTATATTTGGTATATCATCTGTAAATATTTTTATTTTCCATGCCCTCGAGAAACTATTCACATGCGTACAGGAATATTTTGCATGCTTATGCATTACATTTTCTAGTTTTATATACTATAAGCCATTTCCTATGTGTATCACTGCCATCTTACTGTGAAGAAAACGAGAGCATGGAGATCTATTTGCTCAAAATTTGGCTTTCCTTAGGGTAGTACCTCTAATATCATGGCCTAAGAGCCAATTGAACATATCCTCTGTGGCGGCAGTAAAACCATGACACGAAATGGGCTGACGACGCGATATGACTGTGTGGATTGTCCTATTTACCAAGTTCAATGGTCTATAAAAAGACTGGTACTGTCAGAGAGTACATCATATTTCAAGGCCTTAGGTCTGTTTTAATGCAGACTACTCTGTGGCAGCCAAGAAACCACACCGCGAAATGGGCTGATGGCACAATAGATGGATCAGTGTGCATTTTCCTATATGGTTTTCTTGTGTACACACGGAAGTTGGCATATTTTATATTTTTGCAAAGGTCCTTTTAGAGGCCCTGTAATAGGGTGCTAAGAATATCCTGAGAAAAAACAGCAATATAACCTGCATTTAATGACACAATGGAATCCAAATTATAATTTTTTTTTACAAATTATTATTACGTTTTATATACACATCATATACATAAAACATGTACAGAACAAGGCACAAAATGTGCAACATTTTAATGAAGACAAATAGAGCAGCTCTCTCCATTCTTATGACCTTAAATAATACTGTGAATTCACATAAAATCCTTCTTCCTATTGAAATCCACATACACATGTAAAAGTGGTCACCAGGTAACTTGAGAGAGAATGAATTTATGCCTTGGTACAAGGTGTGCATTAGATTGATAAATAAGCTTGGTTTTACAGTGCTTTTTTTTCCTTCATAAATTAAAAACGTACAAAAATATATATATAACGAGCATTGCGTTGTTAAGTAAGAGTCTGAGATCCACAAAACAGAGGTTTGAATGCATCAATAGAAAACATACAAATTGTATCAAAAGATGAAGAGCTCACATCTCAAACAATTCAGAACGTCCCAACGGTAGAAAAAAAAAAAAAAAATGCCCTGAGCAAGTCCAGTAACCAGCCATCACCCATCTGAGCCGGCCATTTGAGCAGTACAAGTAGTGTTCTACCCACCCAAACAAATATGGTGCATTATCCCACCAAATGTGTACCAGAACAATCAAAAGTGCTCAGGCCCTTCACCACCTTGGGTCCCTAGGTAACAGCGATCCTCTCAGTAGTGGAATCTGCAAATAAATAAATAAAATTAGTTAATTAATTAAAAGTATAGCAGATAAAATGTATAAATACTAATAGTCTGGCATCTGAATATGTGCACAGTAAGGATGTATAAATATAAACAGTAGACATGCATATATACCTTTTTCTAGGTTTTACTTCCCAGCCATCACGGCATTTAATAAATGTAATTTCTTGCCCTGGCGATATCTCAGTCTTATCAGCACAGAAGGTGAACCTGTGAATGAAACATTGTGACATTAGCAAGCAGTTTAAAAAAAAATAAATAAATATATATTCACCAATTCACAACCATGACAGCTCTTACTTCTTCTGCGTTTCTCCTGCTTTGACTCTGATCCTCCGAACCTCCAGAACTTTGTTGTTCTGTGAACTTGACCATGACCAAAGTGATGACTTAAGGTGTTTCAACATAGATGACCAGGAATCAGAAGGGCCTTCCCAGCGAAGAGAAATTTTCAGCAGGTCACCGATGTCCTCTTCCGTGAAGACAAGAAATGTGTTTGTGAGGTTTAGACCAACTCCATCGGCACTGTGAAAACAGGTTTTTTTTTATTTTTAGTTTTCAAAAGAACCCATATAAATGATATTTACAGGAGAATATATTGGGAATGTAATCTTAATCATGAGGTGCTTACATGTCTACACTGAGGTTATCGGTATCATTATGGGATCCGTATAGTTTGACGTAGAAAGTGGGATCTGCATCATCTGCATTCTTCCTGTTGAACACATGCATCTTCATCTGATAGTGGTAACCTGTAGAGGATTAAGCAAATAACCACATTTCAGTGACTCACCATTACAGCATGCTATTTCGAAACAAAGAGGTTATAATTACTTACCACCAAAAGGTGTGTCTGCGCGAGTCTTCAGGTACATTTTGCTGTTTCTCCTCTTTCGCATTTTCTTGGCGTTGTAACCAATACTGTTGCAGCGGTTCTTCCTGCAGCTCAGACAAATGCCCTTCTTGAAGCGATCAGGGCCGGTACATTGAAAAGCGTAACTCACGTGGTCCATGTTCATGAGCGAGTCCACAAAGAGATGCACTGCCCGCTCATGTTCACACTTCATGACTTCCACAAAGTCTGTGTGGTGACAAGACAAATTTGGTAAAATGATGGTTGACAACAATGACTTGGAAGAGTTGGAAATAGCCAAAACAATAACAAAACTGAAGCACTCACTTCCTGCAGCAGCAGTGGACAGCACATCTCCTAAGGAACAGCCTGGTTGTACATCCCCACCATTGGGATACATATCAATATGCCCAATAGGCTCCTGGATCCCAATACTGACACCCAAAGCTCCCCGTGTGTATGTGTGCAGGACGTCGACAAAGTCCGCATCATCTGGAGAAAGCCTCTTGTGGGACTCTGCCCCCTCGAACATGGGACCAGCTGGGTCTAAACCTACTCAAAAAGAACAGATGTTTAGATGTGGCCTCCACATGTGCAAAAAGACTAAGCAATTTCTTTGTTGCTTTGTTTCAAAAATCAAAGTGTCCAACATAAAGAAATCTAAATCTCACCTGTAATGCGTCCAATATTTCCATTTACAAAAGTTCCAGCATATCCAGCAACATGAGCACCAAGACTATATCCAATCATATGCACGTCCTCAAGTTGTAGCTGCATTTCTCCCTATCCAAAACAGACACACATTAGATTAACCATATTATTATTATTATATGAGGGGAATAGCTTTAATAAATTATTATAAAATAAATATTAAATAAGAAAAATATTTATTCGTTCATTCATGCTATGTATATTTAAATTCAAAACATAAAATGATTATTTATCCAGGGGAATATCTCTAAACTTTTATTTGTTAGATCCTGCAAATCAGATTATGATAATGACGACACTACTACTACTACTACTAATAATAATAATTATTATTATTATTATTTATGTAAACATTAAAATAAAGTTAATCAATATTATATATTGTGTTTTTGCTATTTTGTACATTGTCTATTTTGTATATTATTCTTTTTATTATCTATGTCCTGTCTTGTCACTGTCATTCTGTTGCACTGTGGAGCTTCTGTCACTAAAACAAATTCCTCGTATGTGTAAACATACCCGGCAATAAAGCTCATTCTCTATTCTCTCTCTCTAATATTTTTCTATTTATTATTTATTTGTTCCCTTAGTCCAACTAAACGTCGCACTAAATTCAAAAGGTGAAATGTTCTAAAAAGAAAAGAAACTACTATTCATCTGAAGAGGCTCTAAACTTTTTTTATATCCCGGAAGACTGATGAGAGCAGCTTTGAGATGTAAAAAAAAAAAAAAAGTCATTATCCCTCATGCACAATGTTGCTGTACCGCGCACAGTGCCAGCTGGGGCATCCGTGTGCGTGTGTGGGGGGGCTAATATGCTCAGCTGCTCATTTACACTTGCTTGCATCTTTCCTGTATAACAAGTACTTCAGAGTCTAAGGAACCCAGCTACGATGCATGAATACTTATTGTTCCACGAGAGTACCCATAATGCCTTGAGCAAACTCCTGACATATCAAACAACAAAAAAACAAAACAGATCCATCTGGAAAAGACAAACTGTACTTCGCCAGGACATCTGCTGTTCTGAGAAAAGATGAATAATACCAACAATGACACAATGTACAAGGCCACAAGCAGAGTTTTCACGGTTGCCAGTTCTCTCAAACGCACACAAAGAGAAACAAACACACCCAGTGGGATGTATAATATAGACATACCTGGAGCCAGTCCAAAAGAGTAGCGATGCTCTGCCCAACCCTGTGGGTATGGTTGACGGCATCAGGGTAAAGCTGGTGGGCCAGGCCCAGCCAGTCGACCACCACCACATTAGCCTCCGACTCTCGTCTCTGAACAGCAGCCACCAGCTTGTGCATCCAGCTCTCAAACATCCCACTCATCTGTGAAAGACACCACACCCTTTACCAAACTCAACCGGCAATGTTCCAGCAATCACCTGTGAAATTCCAATATTTGCTTCCCATCTTGGAAGTGAATGTATTGTCACACTGAAGAAAGAACATTTCAGTTGCATTACACTATTTCTGGATAACCTCCAGCATTGCATCAAAGATAAAATGTGAGGAACCTTCTGAAGATTCAAAGGGCTTGGGTATCGAAATCTCAAAAAGCCAACCAAATATTAAAACGAGCCTCATGATCATCTGGAATATCTCACCGTCCAGCCGTGGATGATCAGAATGGTCTTGACTGAGGTATTGAAGCCACATCAGAATGGTCTTGACTGAGGTAGTGAAGCCACACTCCTCAATGCTTTCCTTTTTCCCAGGTTGGAGGTAACAGCCGTCGTCATCAAGATCCAAAGACTTTCGCATGTTGTACTTGATTCGGTCATGAAGTAGCACCGGTTCCATTGAGAAGCCATCCTCAGAATCATCTAGAATAAATAGTAAGACAATGAATATGTTTGTGAAATCTCAAAATTCTACATAAAATTTTGGTCAGACCAAGTTCTTGGGGCATTTCGAAGTGCTTAACTGTTTCATAAGGGGTTAAGCTTGAGTTTATTCATGTAAGCCTTATGACAACATCTCATTTTAATGGCTAGCTTGAACAATTGAGCTACTGTACAGAGAGGGAAAAGCAGAACACTTTTTCTAATGAACCAGTTTCTAATGAACCAGCTGGCATTACAGGAATGCCAAATGGAGTCTTGATTTGGGATTTAACAGTTTACAAACAGTCTACATACTTTCAAGTGGAGGAAACCTGCGACTTTTCAACCCAAGTAAGGAAAAACTCGGTAGTTCTGCAACACCATGCGTTTAACCAATAAATCAAAAATAAAAACCCTCCTGAGGTGAGGTGGGCAGAAATTTTAAGTCCTTGTAAAAAGGATTTACAGGATTAATGCATACAGACATGATCTCATGTTTTAAGGGTTGTTTTATGCATTTCTTCTATATTTTATTTCAATTTGGTTTGTTTTCGAATGTTTGCTAAAGGTTTCACTTATTCACGCGGCGGGTGATGGAATAATATTTGCTTACCAATGAAAATGTATGTGTACGTTAAACGGGCATGTTTCAATTAGAGATTTGGATATCTAACAATATGTGTGTGAATATTATTGAGCTAAACACAGAATAACAAACGTTTTAACAAATTCTGTTACAGCTCTGCCCGGTATTCCAAACGTTTATTTTTCACAAAGTTACAAAAAAAAAAAAAAAAGTTTTTTTAAAAATCCTTCAAAAGTCAAAAAGTCTTTCAAAAGTCAAAGTTTTCACCACAAAGTCACTGCGGTCGACAACGCGTGGAATTTTCTGGGCGGTAGTTTAAAAGGCACATCCGAGACAAAGTGGATTGTCCGGGTTTTACTTTTGTGAGTCGCCGACACATCAAGAAAGCGGATAGTTTAACGTTCAGATCATTTTTTGACAGGTTCATTCACGTAGTCATAATGTGAGAATGTTATGTTTCTCACAGTTTGAATGGAATCGGAGTTATTGTTAGCCATTGTCCGTGAAAAGAATGATTGTAAACAGAAATGCATAAAATGTAAATCGTTGAGGAATTTTGCATACTAAAGTAACCACTTGCTTCATTTAAAAGCATTAAACAGCAGTTAGTTAACAAACATAAAAATGTTCTTACCTTTTAGTTGCACGTTCTGGTCGGGTGTAGCGGCTAAGGCACTGAATGAATGGCACAGAATAGAACATAACAAGCAAAGTGCAATTCTTATTGATTTTTCTACCATAATGTTCAGGGCTTAAAATCGTTTCGTTATTCTTTTGACAAACTGGAGTAACTAAGGAAGTTTAACGTATTAATCCTTCACTAAGAGGTGCCCGCAGAGTGTATGAACCTGTCTCAGGTTGCTCATTAGAGTTTTAAATAGTTTTTTTTTCAGTCATCTGACCATCGGCAGATACCTACGACAAAATTCTTTCTTTCTAATTGGTCAATCCCCTGGAACTACTTTCGAGGGCGTGGCATATAAGTTTGAATGAGTTTTAGACTGGCACAATTCTCACGCTACTGTTAACCCTGTGCTTATGCACGCTGACGCACTTGAGCATACCAAAGGCTAAGTAGCCTTCAGCAGTGCACATGACTGTGTTTGTTTACAAATACACAAACATGCGATGTTAAAGCTGCGAACACGTGGGTCTTTTGGGGTTATTGTTGTTCACATTTTGCAATGTAGGGAAGACTGCGCTCCTTAGGTTTTGTATAAATGATTGTTTTCTCTATGAAGTAGTTGTTGGTTTCAAATACTTTATTCAAAATGGCAATACATTTAGATATTTTTGAGAATTCTACAACTCCAAACTAAAATTTCAATATTATTACATTTTTTTATATTTGTAGGCAATTTTGGGGTAGACCTACTCCCTTGCCTAGAATTATGCCAGTGTGGTTTTATTGTTTTCACTTTTTTGACCCCAAAATTGTAATGTGAACAAAATTCCCCTGAAAATACAGTTCATTGTTAGAAGATGAAATGTTATCAAATTAAAAAGCTATTTTTCACATTAACAATAACTCAATAATATTTAATGTTTTAAATAAAACATGCCCAATAGGACAACATGCCCCACTATGTATTGAGTGAATTGTCTCACTTCTTGTGCAATAACATTGGAAATGTTCATTAGCTTTTTTGTTGTCAAAAATACAATATATATTTTAGAGAATTTCAAAAACAAACCTACTCTGAGAAATATTCACTGGAGTGTAAAGTCTCCCTCATTTTCTGATATCAGAAGTGAAACTATCTAACTAACTATAAAGTTCCTATCTAAAATAAAACAGTTGTACACTCAAACAGTTGAAACTCTATGACAGGAAGCTTTAGACTAAACTGTATGGAATAGTCTTGGTACACATGTACCTAGAAAGTCACATGCAATGACTAAACTTTTGGGAAAAAATGGGTGGATAGCTTTGTTTTATACATAAACTGAATATGCACATGAGCAATATATTTCCAAAATACAGTCACTGGGAAACTGCCTCTTCTTAGTTGTTAAGGCTAAAAGATCCCTTTCTTAATCAAGACCAAAAGCTTTATGTGATGAAAAATAAAATTGTACAAAACTAGAACAACTAAACCAACTTGTTGCCCATAAGACATTGCTCAAAAGTGTTAAGAAGACATAACATTCGAACAGACTACTGGATGTTGGTGAAATCCAAGTGGGTCATATAGAAAAACCTTGGCCTCCTACTTCCATTTATATAGTGGATTCTCTTTTAGAAAAAACCCATAGAAGACTAGGGCTGCATACTAAAGAGCATATAGAGCTTAACAAAAACACATTCATCAGCCACCTTCTGTGTCATAGAAGAACACTTGGACATCAGAAACATTGAACTATTAACTTAGTGTTTAATCAAATGATCAGGACATGGAATAATTCTAAAAGTAAAGCGCGCACACACACACACACACATGTGTGTACACACACTGATATATGTAGCATTTTCTTCAACAGTTATTCAGTGGGCTGAATACCATCTCATACAAGCTTATAGAATGTGTCAGCTGTGAATCTGTGCACAACGCAATTTGTTTCAGGGGAGTATATTGCAATCTGCCCTGGGCTAGGTAAGAATATATTTGGGTTAGATTATTACAAAACTCATTTGGTCCATTTTTCAATTTCTTTAAAAGTCTTGTGTATTTGGCACAGCTATGTTTTACTTTAGAGCAACAAAAAGTTTAAAAGGTTCTAATCCTTTTGTTCCAGGATGTTACACTTTGGTAAATGGCCTGGAAAGTGAACACTGTAGGCCTATTGAGTTTCAACACATAATACAATCCAGATTTGCATTTCCTGAAGGAAATACTAGTGCTTACAAGACAGCAACAGAAAAGAGTTAAAGTTTAGCTAAAATGATAGCCTACAGGTTTCCCACGATCATGGAAAACCCTGGAAATATGGGTTCTAAATTCTAAAACAGTGGATTTCCATGTCAAGGAAATCAATAAAATCTTAAAAACTCAAAGATATTTGTTTTTTACAACTACAAATGTAGTCTATAATAAAATAAGTATTAATAACTAATTTAATTTAATGAGCTACAAAACTAAATTTGAATAACGTCGGAAATGTAATACTTTGAGATAGAATATATTCAGAATATATTATAATCTATAAACACTAAAAATCACATATACTGGTAAAAAATGTATAGCCTGAATGCACTGTAAGTCGCTTTGGATAAAAGCATCTGCTAAATGCATAAATTATTATTAAATTATTACAAATTAATTATTAAATTATTATTAAATTATAAACAGAATATATTCAGAGATTACATTTACATTTAGTCATTTAGCAGACGCTTTTATCCAAAGCGACTTACAAATGAGGACAATAAAAGCAGTCAAAACTAACAAAAGAGCAACAATATGTAAGTGCAAATGACAAGTCTCGGGTATCTAACCACAGTACGTAGCAAGGTATTATATATACACACACACACACACACACACACACAAAGAAAAACAAGTAGATAGAACAGAAAAAAAAGAAAGCTAGTTTTTTTTAAATGAAAAAGAAGATAAATAGATAAAGTAGAATTAAAATAGAATAGAAAGTGCTAGAGTTAGAGGGTCAAATAAAGATAATTTATTATACATTTACATGATCTTTATATCACATGCCTGGCTTTCTGTGTGCTCTGACTGTGTTAAGAATTTTGCGGAATTTCATGGTATGTTTATAGACGTGTATTCATTAAATTGTTATTTTGATGTTGGAGATTTATATCACATAGAGACAACGGCATAAATTGTTACCGTGGACCACAAAACCATAAGTAGCACGGGTATATTTGTAGCAATAGGCAAAAATACATTGTATGGGTCAAAATTATTGATTTTTCTTTTATGCCAAAAATCATTATGATATTAAGTAAAGACCATGTTCCATGAAGATATTTTGTACATTTCCTACCGGAAATATATCAAAAATGTATTATCATTAGTAATATGCATGGCTAAGGACTTCATTTGGACAACTTTAAAGGCGATTTTCTCAATATTTAGATTTTTTTGCACCCTCAGATTCTAGATTTAAATAGTTGTATCTCGGCCAAATATTGTCCTATCCTAACAAAAAAAAATACATAAATGGAAAGCTTATTTATTCAGCTTTCAGATGATGCATAAATCTCAATTTCAAAAAATTGACCCTTATGACTTCTGCCAACCGCCATTAATACCAGAAGAAGAAGAAGACCCTTATGACTTGTTTTGTGGTCCAGACCAGGGTCACAATTGTGTTTTGCAGACGCTTTACGCGCTTACCACAGAACCGGAACTAGTTTTGTTGTGAGTGTGACGCGTTGAGAAGCGCGAGCTGTGAGGAGGAGCAGGTGATCAGTTACTATGGCAGCTCCCACTGCATTAACAGGGAATTATATTAGAATACAGACATTAACATCCTATTTCCAGCATTGTCGACGATCAAAACGATGGATTAATCTGAAAACAGTCAACCGGAGAAGCCCCTTTTGTCAGTCACTGAAAAGGTTAGGACTGAATTTCCCCCTTGGTGCAGAGAAACAAAGCTTGCATGCGTTAATATGCAAAACACGCGTGTTTTCTTACCGGAGCAACATATCCGCCGGTTTGTAGAGTCTGTATTCATATAAACATGGCGTACAGGGCATATAGTCATTGTTTGAGAAGGTCGATTCATTCAGCAAATACATTTTGTGTTTGAATATTCCGCCACCGTGTGGGTGTCATAACTGTCAATGAGATGCTTAAGCAGAGTTTTACATGCATTGCTGATGGATTATAACGGTTTTATTCATTTTTTCATGTGTCTAGCTCGGTGTATTGTTACATATATGCGATGTTTGTCACATAGACATGTTGCCACGGTGGTCTCAGGGACAGGACTTGCTCGGCAGATCCATAAAGAAGTCCAGAGTGATATAGCAAAACTAGTGGCCCAAGGCAACAGGAGACCTCATCTGAGTGTCATCCTGGTGGGAGATAATCATGCCAGCCACACTTATGTGAGAAACAAAACCCGAACGGCTTCACTGCTTGGTGAGCAACACACAAAGTCAATACAAACTTTAAGGTTTTAATATGTAAAGCAGTGGTTTTCAGGCCTCTGCAAACTTGTACAGGGCCCCAGTAAGTATTAAGATTATTTAAATGTAGTTAAATTAACATAATTCTAATAAAAAATAAAAATCCTAAAAAACACATACAACTTTTAACTAATATCATAATTTTTTTAGTTGGTATTTTTTATTTTGTTTTGTTACAGCAGATGTAACATATCTACGGAAGCCCGTTTCTGCCACAGAATAAAGAAATTAAGGTAATTGCAACGTTTTATCTCACAATTTGTACTTTTTAAATCTCAGTTCTGAGATATAAAAATTGCAAAATGTAACTTGCAATTGAAAGATATAAAATGAGCAATTCTGAGTAGAAAAGTCTGGCTTTTGAGATCTAAACTCGCAGTTGCAAGAAAGTCAGAATTGTGAGATAAAAAGTTGCAATTACCTTTTATATTTTTTTCCATGGCGAAAACAAATAAACAGAATAAACATTTTTCACATTTCCGGGTTTCTCAGCAGCAGAAACTTCTATAGCAGTGAATGGGAGACTACCACAGATATATTTTTTGCATTCCCATTTGCTCAAATAGCAAAAGAAAAAAATCCATGATAGTGTTTTCATAACTTTCAAAAAAAAAGGAAAAAATAGAGAGAGAGACTGATGTCAAATTTACCATCACTCCCATAGACACTGTATTAGAAACACCCTCGCATTAGCGTTAACTAGTTTTTTTGTAATTTGATGCAATTTGAACTTTGGAGGATTTACGATGCTGATGAAACTCGTCATCACAGTCTTGTGAAAAGGGTCCATTTGCAAGATGTAAACTCACAATTCTGAGAAAAATCGTCAGAATTGCAAATTGTAAACTCAGAATTGTGAAAAAAAATGCACAATTCTGAGTTTCTGTTGCATAGTCCTGTGTTTATATTTTGCAAAGTCCGAATTGTGAGATAAAAAGTCATAATTACCTTCATTATTATTATTTTTTTTTAAATTCTGTGGCAGAAACAGACTTCCATACATATCACGTTAGATAGGAAAGATTAAGATTACAAATTGCTGTCAAAAGTAAAGACAACTGTTTTCCTGCATTTAATGCTTACATTAATGTTGTGAAACATGAAAATGTAATTTTACATAAAATCACTGTGATTTTACAGTACAAAATGTATCATGTGTTCACTAATCTCTTCTTCAAACGGTACTTGTTTAAAAGGCATGTCAAGCAGCACAATCTTCAGGCCAGCATCAGTATCTCAGGAAGAGATGTTGGAGCTGATAGACAAATTCAACAGAGACAGGGGCATCAGTGGGCTGCTGGTCCAACTCCCTCTTCCAGGTACTGTAGGATTCTGCTGGATCAAACTGTGAAACTGATCATGTAAAATGCTGTATTGCAAATAAAAATAGAGTCATTCGAAGTTAGGATCTTCACTGTGTTTGTATCTGAATCAGGTTTGCAATAGTGAACTCATATTTTGAATATCTCTCTCTCTTACAGAGCACATCAACGAGAGAGCCATATGCAATGCTGTTGCCCCAGAAAAAGACGTCGATGGATTCCACATAGTAAACATTGGGAAACTCTGCTTGGACCAGAGGTGCATGGTGCCAGCCACAGCAGCGGCAGTGTGGGAAATCATCAGAAGAACGGGTTTGTGACTTTGAGATCACAATTTTCTTTGAGTTGTAAATACACTCAGTTTCTCAGCCATCTCATATTGCATCCCCTGCAGAGATGTGAGTGGGTTGTCCGTGATTACATTGGTTAGCAGCAGGTATAACAACAGTATCTGATGTCAGTTTATTGCTTTTCCATTCCTTACACAAATCCTTGCACATTTTGAAACATTGTTTTGCAATCGTATCTGTATTTTGATGGTTTTTCCATACCATGGGCATTTGGGAAATTGAGTTATAAATGTTTACTCAAATTCTATACTAGCGGTCAAAAGTTTGGTATACTTAACAGTTTTTTAATGTTTACGAAAGAAGTCTCTTATGCTCACCAAGGCTACATTTTCTTTTATTAAAAAATACAATAAAATAGGGATGCACGATATTATCGGACTGATATCGGAATCGGCCGATAATGGCTTTGAATGTAAATATCGGCATCGGCCAGATATGAAAAATTATGTTGATATGTCTTGCCGATAAGAGGAATAGGTTAACTCACATGTGCTCTTGTTTAAAAGGCATGTCAAGCAGCACAATCTTCAGGCCAGCATCAGTATCTCAGGAAGAGATGTTGGAGCTGATAGACAAATTCAACAGAGACAGGGGCATCAGTGGGCTGCTGGTCCAACTCCCTCTTCCAGGTACTGTAGGATTCTGCTGGATCAAACTGTGAAACTGATCATGTAAAATGCTGTATTGCAAATAAAAATAGAGTCATTCGAAGTTAGGATCTTCACTGTGTTTGTATCTGAATCAGGTTTGCAATAGTGAACTCATATTTTGAATATCTCTCTCTCTTACAGAGCACATCAACGAGAGAGCCATATGCAATGCTGTTGCCCCAGAAAAAGACGTCGATGGATTCCACATAGTAAACATTGGGAAACTCTGCTTGGACCAGAGGTGCATGGTGCCAGCCACAGCAGCGGCAGTGTGGGAAATCATCAGAAGAACGGGTTTGTGACTTTGAGATCACAATTTTCTTTGAGTTGTAAATACACTCAGTTTCTCAGCCATCTCATATTGCATCCCCTGCAGAGATGTGAGTGGGTTGTCCGTGATTACATTGGTTAGCAGCAGGTATAACAACAGTATCTGATGTCAGTTTATTGCTTTTCCATTCCTTACACAAATCCTTGCACATTTTGAAACATTGTTTTGCAATCGTATCTGTATTTTGATGGTTTTTCCATACCATGGGCATTTGGGAAATTGAGTTATAAATGTTTACTCAAATTCTATACTAGCGGTCAAAAGTTTGGTATACTTAACAGTTTTTTAATGTTTACGAAAGAAGTCTCTTATGCTCACCAAGGCTACATTTTCTTTTATTAAAAAATACAATAAAATAGGGATGCACGATATTATCGGACTGATATCGGAATCGGCCGATAATGGCTTTGAATGTAAATATCGGCATCGGCCAGATATGAAAAATTATGTTGATATGTCTTGCCGATAAGAGGAATAGGTTAACTCACATGTGCTCAGGGTGTGCTGGCGATTAGATCAGGTCAGCAGTGTGGCTCATTCTTGAAGCAAAGTTTTGCCTGAATGGTGATCAGATTCACTGCTTTGGATCACTGCATTTAAACTGAGAATGCAGTACAGAATGTGTTCGGTGTGAAATAGACTAAACAGTAATAGCATGAGCACCGGCAGCCTCCCCTGGGTCCTAATGCTAGTTAGGTAACGAGTTTTAATTCCATAGGGGGCGCTGTTGGCCTACTTCTAATAAAATTAAAGTAAAATACACAAATAACATTTAGACTGTGTTTCTGATTAATTATTTATAGTCGTACATTAGTTATGCATGATTGATCATTGATTCACAAACTATGCATGCTCTCGGGGCTCTGATCTCGATGTATTTCAACAGATTTAGTGCTGTATTTTTCATTTGTATGTTTATTTGTTTAATGGATACAAACAGTAGATATTCAGTCATTATTCTAGTTCAAAGGGACGGGTTTAGTGAGTGGTCTTTTGGCATCTCCCTGTTGTCCTGTTTGGTATGACAGGTTCACTTATTTAAGAAAAAGTACTCTGAAGTCGTAAAGAATGTCTGAAGTAAAGAATTCAGGAGCTTTAACTCTATATATATATATTTTATTTTTATTTTAAAAAGTTAGAATTGAGCAGAGGGTTTTCTTTTAAGTTATAAAGTATTTAAAGTTTGTTTGAATTTTGAGTTTTTTTTTTATAATAAATCTTAAGGTGACTACTGCATCTTTTTGAAAAAAATAAAAATAAAAAATGCAGCGATTGATATATAGTTTACTTATAGTTATTTTCAAAGTTTCAATGTACTGTCATTATAAAAGAACTTCATTGTTCTTAATTTAATTTAACAAATAAGTTCTTGTTAAAAACTAACCAAAATTAAAAATAATTTGCTTATAATTTCCACACAGGAGAGACTTGGTGTTGTTTCCAAACAAAAGAAAATATATCGGTATCGGCCAAAATGAGTTGAAAAATATCGGCATAAATCCAATATCGTGCATCCCTACAATAAAACATTAATGTTGTGGTCTTCCGGTATTGGCTTCGGAGTGAGAGGTCACAGTTTCAAACCCTCTTGAATTAATCGTAATTTAATCCTTTTCAAACCCACTTTATTAATACTGGTGAGATTGGTATAATAACTGTCGCAGTTATGCCGTAGAAGAAGAAGATTAAAAGTCAAGGAAAACTGGACACTGAAATGCAAAATCTACCCTCAGATCCTGAGAGTTCTAATGAACACGACGAGACAGGGGAAGAAGATGGCAGAGATATCTCTGTCACTAAGAATACTAGTAATGCCGATATAATGAAGGCAATTATACTCTTAAAAATAAAGGTGCTTCACGATGCCATAGAAGAACCTTTTTGTTTATATGGTTCCATAAAGAACCTTTAACATCTGAAGAACCTTTCTGTTTCACAAAAGGTTCTTTGTGGCGAAAGAAGGTTCTTCAGATTATAATTTGGGGGAAGTCGTGGCCTAATGGTTAGAGAGTCGGACTCTTTGAGATAAAGTGGATGATTTGGAATGCTGAAGTCGGAGGAATAATCTCAGGTTCTATGGTTCCATAAAGAACCTTTAACATCTGAAGAACCTTTCTGTTTCACAAAAGGTTCTTTGTGGCGAAAGAAGGTTCTTCAGATTATAATTTGGGGGAAGTCATGGCCTAATGGTTAGAGAGTCGGACTCTTTGAGATAAAGTGGATGATTTGGAATTCTGAAGTCGGAGGAATAATCTCAGGTTCGTTGGTCTCCCAGAGAAGGAGGAGGGAATGGATGCATGTGCCTTTTTGGAAAAGTGGCTGCCAGAGATTTCTTGCACCTCACTGATCATAGAGAGAGCACATCGGATACCCAGCTCTAGTCAAGGCTACAGAGTGCGAGATGGTAAAGCATCACTGAGAACACTCATCATAAAGTTCCTTGACTTCAAGCAGAAAGAGCAGGTATTGAAGGCTGCTAGGGCTAAGGGAACCATCAAGTATAAAGATCACAACCTCAGTTTTTTCCCTGATCTATCTGCTGAGGTCCACAGAAAGCAGAGAAGCCACGATGCAGTTCATCAAAAGCTACGTTACAAGGGAATTAATCGGCACAGGATCATCTTTCCAGCTCGACTGCTTCTCACGCATGGAGACTGTACCGTGACACTGAACAGTCCAGAAGAGGTGGAAAACCACATGTAGTGGCTCTAAATGTAAATGTATAAAGAAACTGTGCTTTTTTGTTTTTGTTTTTCTTCTTCCTTTTCTTTCTAAGTTATGAGAGCACCGTTATAGTGGTTACTATATGTTATGGGGACAAGATAGAGTTTTTGATTCTGTTTTGGCAGAGTGGCATCAGGAGGGGGAAATTTGAATTTGGTTAAGAGTATAGTTCTATGTGGGTATAACAAAGCAAATGGGGTTGAAATAGCATGAAGAGAAATTTGGAGAGTTTAATAGGTTTGTATAATAGTGTGTACAGGTAAGTACCATACTAGAAGTGAATCGAGGGGGTAGATGGGTTATTACGGATACAGGGGTTATCTGTAAAAATATGGGGATTGCGTGGGGTGGAATGTAATCATTTTTTGTTTGGCTTCCTGCTACTTGACAACCGTGACTGCTTTAAGGCAATATTTGATGTAACAATAAAGAAATGTCACAAATAGGTAGAATTAATTTTCTATCATGGAACTGCAGAGGTTTGGGTAAATTAAAAAAGGTGATGAATAGAATTAAACAATTACATGCAACGGTGGTGTTCTTGCAAGAGACGCACATGATAAAGGAAGGTTTCGTGAAAATAGAGAGGCGATGGCATGGACTGGTTTTCTCTGCATATTATACTACACAAGCCAGGGCAGTTATGATCTTAATACATAAATCTGTGCCTTTTCAAGTTCAGGATATTATCAAAGATCCAGCTGGCAGATATGTAACTATTAAGGATGTACTTTTGACAGAGAGAATACATTTAGTGAATATATATGGTCCTAAAAAAACAGTCCCAGGTTTTATAGTAATATATTTAGATTGGTTGCTAGATCAAAATATCATAGCAGGTGATATGAACTGCACCCTAGATCCAGAAAAGGGATTGTCTACTGGTGTTGACAGTACTCATGTATACTCTAGGAAACATATACAACATTTTATGACAGAACTCAACTTACTGGATATATGGAGACATCTTAACCAAACTCTAAGTTCCTACTCCTACTATTCTGCTACACATCAAACGTATTCCCGAATTGATTTTTTTTTTTTTTTTTTTTTATCCGATTGTGCGAATTATTCTGTGTTACTTCTTAAGCCATACGATAGCTTAATGTGAGCTACATATGAATATTTAAGTCCTTACATTAAAGTTCACACAAACTCTTTTCTCCGCTGTGGCTGTCAGTCATTCGTTCAGCCTTTAAAGTTT